TATCTATAATAAATCTATTTACCATGTATCTACAGTATAATGTATGTATTAGGAGGTACATACTGATGTACCTACTAGTATATAATATACATAGTAATTAGTATATCTACTAAGTATACTGTGGTACCTACATAGTATGATAGGTATGTAATATTAGTACCTATAAAATACAGAATATTAGTATCTACAAATACACTAGTGCCTTGATTATAACTGTTTGAACTTAACATAAGATGACTGCATCTCAGACTTATTTCAGAGGGATTTAAATAATGAAGTCCCATTGGTGATATCAGTTTAGGTGATAGTCTTAATACTGAACTAAATTCCTATTTTCTCTCTCAGATGTATACATGAGTTAATAATATTCTTGAGGTTGATGTAAAACAATAGCAATAGAGTAATGTTTCTTTAACTTTTTTCATACTGAAAGTTACTATTTTTCCTTTTTACCCTTTATCTAGAAAATGGAGCAAGAGGTAGAAAACTTCAGTTGTTCCAGATCATGATGCCATGGTATCAAGTATTCTTTATATTCAGTTGCTATTTAATTCACTTTTGTCATGTCCATATAAGTGATACAAGATGAAATCCTGCATCTTTAAGGAAAAGATTAAAATAGTAAATAAAAATATTTAAACTTTTCTGGTATTTATGTACATGTGTAAGATAAATTACAGAGATAACTGATAAATATTTGAAATTTGAACAAGGCACTGTAGTAATAGTAATTCTGTAGTGTATCAGTAGTTGAAGTATGGCCAACTCTTAATAAAAGTTATTTTGATAACTAATGTTTTATGGCACTTAAGAGTAATTAGTGACATTGAAATTTTTTTGTTTTAAGCACTTTTAACGTTTTTCCTTCCTAAAAATATTTTCTTGTATCAGACTAGAAACTTACTTCACCATCGTGTCTTTGTGTCTTTGCCATCCTTTTGTTCTTTGTTTTTTTCAATGCCCATCTCCTATTTGCCTTTAGCTTTTTCTCCCCATTTACTTAAAAGCCAGGGTTCAGGTCATTTGTGGGAAGGCCCTGAACAACTTCTGTACTTGAATGCCAAAATTTAGATAAACATTTTTATAATTCTAATTTGGGTTAATAAAGATTTTAAATATTTTTTTGGTTTATTTTTATGATAATACAGCAAATGTATTAATATCTACTTTGTTCAATATCTTTTTAATAGCACAAAGGTTTTATATTTGAAAACTCTATATCTTTCTAAATTTGCGATTAGGTTATATTCTATAGATAGTTTTTATATACAATTATATAAATATAAATATTATAAATTTTGTATTAATGATACCAAAAATACATTTCTTTCTTAAAGCAATAAAATCATTCACTGCCATGCATATTCTCTTGTTTTGTTTTTTTACAAAGACATTCTAATATTAGTTTGTAAAATAGTTGGAAACTTCCTTCAAGGGAATAGGAGATAACGATCTCATATGAGAGATTCTGGATTCTAAAACAGTTTCCGAGTTGAGTTGCCTTTTGTTGTTGATTTATCTGGATACTGTATTTAAAGCCTTATAAAACCCAGGAATTTAGATCCCTTAACAAATAGATATCCTCTTATATAAGGCACAAAGCAATGCCAGTCACTGAAAAAATGTAAAGCAGTATATGTTTTTGCACTTATGTATACACACATACTCATTTTTATTGAAGCTTATTATAACTCCAGATATATCTTTTGTATCTAGAGGATTTCATTTTGTATGTATAGCTTCTGTAATAAATTTTAAAGGTAAAAATTGCTTCTCAAACTTGTTTCTATTTCTTCATTATTTAAAATATCCTAAAGATAATCCAGTGCAAAACAAGTATGAAATCTGTTTTATTACCATGCATAATTTAAAATGCTGTTGACACTGGAATGTTGATACGGTATATGTTCATTAGCTACAAAGACTAGTGTGCTTCCTGTCCTTTTCATGATATACTGTCTACAGACATGGGAAGTAGTATGTATACATTTTCTATGTAGACTTTCAAAATCATGCTGAAATTGCATTAAAATTTTTTGCTTAAAAGTGCAATCAGTCTATAGTAATTAAGACAAGAAGAAGAAATAAAAGGCATCCAGATTGGAAAGGATGAAGTAAAGCTATCACGAATGGCATGATTTTATATGTACAAAATCCTAAAGAATTCACAAAATATCTGCTAGAAGTAATGAATTCAACAAAGTGGCAGGATATAAAATCAGCATAAAAATCAATTGTATTTCTATATAATAGCAATGAACAATCCAAAAAGAAAATTAAGAGAGCAGGGCGCCTGGGTGGCTCAGTCGTTAAGCGTCTGCCTTCAGCTCAGGTCATGATCCCAGGGTCCTGGGATCGAGCCCCGCATCGGGCTCCCTGCTCTGCGGGAAGCCTGCTTCTCCCTCTCCCACTCCCCCTGCTTGTGTTCCCTCTCTCGCTGTGTCTCTCTCTGTCAAATAAATAAATAAAAATCTTTAAAAAAAAAAAAAATTAAGAGAGCAATTCCATTTACAGTAGCATCTAAGATAATAAAACATCTTAGAGTAAATTTAACCAAGGAAGTACAGGACTTGTACACTGATAGTACAAATGTTGCTGAAAGAAATTAAGAAAGACCTAAATAAATGAAAAGACATCCTGTATTCATGTATTAGAAGACTTAATGTTGTCAAAATGGTAATATCCACCAAAGCAATCTACAGATTCAGTGTAATACCTATCAAAATCCCAATGGCTTTTTTTGCAGAAATGGGAAAGTCAGCCCAAAATTCACAATGGAATTGCAGGGGACCCTGAATAGCCAAAACAATCTTGAAAAGAAGAGAAAGTTGGAAGACTCATACTTCCCAATTCTAAAAGTTACACAAAGTTACATCAATAAAACCCATGTAGTATTGGCATAGAGGATAGATATAAGATCAATAGCATAGAGAGTCCAGAAATAAATCCGTTAATCTGTGGTCAACTGATTTTCTAAAATAATGTCCAAGACCATTCAATGGGAAAAGAATAGTCTCTTCAACAAATTGTGTGCTAGGAAAGCTGGATATCTACATGCGAAAGAATGAGGTTGGACCTCTGCCTCACACCACATACAAAAATTAACACAAATGGATCAAAGACCTAAATTTAAGAGCTAAAGCTATAAAATTCTTAGAACAAGAACAAATCTTTCTGACCTTGAATTTGGCAATGATTTCTTAAATGTGGCAGAAACACTAACAACAAAAGGAAAATTAGATAAATAAGACTTCATCAAAATGAAAACCCCTCATGTCTCTTCTATAAATACTATCATCTCAAAGGGCTAGTAAAGCGCAACAACCAGGCGTGCCTGGGTGGCTCAGTCCTTAAGTAGTCTGCCTTCGGCTCAGGTCATGATCCCAGGGTTCTGGGATCCTGCTCAGCCAGGAGCCTGCTTCTCCCTCTCCCACTCCCCCTGCTTGTGTTCCCTCTCTCACTGTCTCTCTCTCTCTCAAATAAATAAATAAAATCTTTTAAAAAATAAAAATAAGCTCAACAACCAAAAGATAATTCAGTAATAGATAGGGATGTTTTTGATGACTGAACAACTTTGAGATATTTGGAAGATAGCCCTCTGTTGGAATTAGTCTGTTTTTCTCATGATTCGACTGAGATTATGGATTTGGGGGAGGAAGATCACAGAAGTAAAGTGATTATATCAGATTACATACTATCAGTGTGATTTATGGCTGTTGATTGACCTTGATCACATGGCGGAAATAGCGTTTCTCAAGTTTCTCCACTGTAAAATCACTTTTCCTTCGCTTTCAATACTGTACTTTGGAAGATCACCATGCACAGCCTACTTATAAGCATGGGGAAGCTCTTCTCCCCCTTCTGCCTTTTTTTAAATCTTATTTTATCAGGGATCCTGATAGGTATGCACTGTGGGATTAATTGAGGGTATTTCAGATTTACTTGTCTTCTCCCCACTACCCTCCCACTCACACATATACAGTACTTTTTTGCAATTGAGAGATTGCCCCATAATATAAGGGACTTTATTAGGACTTGAGTAACTACTTCTTTTTTTTTTTTTTTAAAGATTTTATTTATTTATTTGAGAGAGAGAATGAGAGAGAGCATGAGAGGGGGGAGGGTCAGAGGGAGAAGCAGACTCCCCGCCGAGCAGGGAGCCCGATGCGGGACTCAATCCCGGGACTCCAGGATCATGACCTGAGCCGAAGGCAGTCGCTTAACCAACTGAGCCACCCAGGCGCCCCTTGAGTAACTACCTCTTGCTGAGGGATATTATGGGGATAAAAACTCACTCTATATTAGGACATAGAGGAAAAGATAGCCAGTTTAACTCCTAATATCCATTCTCTCATTCCTTAAAACAATACCCTGAGCAATCTGTCCTGCTGGAAAATTATGTTTCCTTCCATTGCAGCAAAATGTGACTGTGTGACCACAGGAGATACAAAGGGAAGTGTGCACAATTTCTAGGAAACCCGCTGGGAAGGAGGGGGGTGAGAACACTTTCTGCCTTTCTGTGCTTCTTTTACCTGCTGCCTAGAATATATATATATAATGGCTGGAACTCCAGAGCTGTCTTGGACTATGAGGTGACCTTAAAGATGGAACCCATGCCCTACTTCACACAAGTATAAGAAGAAAGAACCTGGCTCATAATAACTTCAGGGAATTGAGAGTCCAATGCTTAACTACATCTGGACTTCTTAACTCAAAGGGAAACTTCCTTGTTTAAACTGCTGTTAGGTGGATCTCTATTACTGATAATGGAATGCAATTCTTAGCCAACAAAGGCATATAGGATACATAGAGAATCAGGGACATTAATATTTTCAATGCTTAGGGTCTTGAAAGGTCTTACTCGGGACTTGCTGTTCATAGGAAGTAAAAGCTAAAAAAATAGAGCCACCGAGTCATTGAGTATACACAGGTGGCATGATCAAATGGACTTGAAAGATTTTCTTGGATGGTCTAGAAAAGTGACAGCCTAGAGGCAAGAGAGTCTAAAAGAAGCCCTCAGAGGCATTTTTGCAAAGGAAGGCTTAGACCTTATTTGGGTTTTTTTGTTTGTTTGTTTTTTTAAATTTTTTTATTCTTATGTTAATCCCCATACATTACATCATTAGTTTTAGATGAAGTGTTCCATGATTCATTGTTTATGCATAACACCCAGTGCTCCATGCAGAATGTGCCCTCCTCAATACCCACCACCAGGCTAACCCATCCTCCCACCCCCCTCACCTCTAGAACCCTCAGTTTGTTTTTCAGATAGACCTTATTTGTTAATAGAGCGCACATTAAAGATAATTCCATAGTTGTAAAGATGAACTCCCAGGGGATTTTTGAGGATATTGACAATAATAAAGAAGAGTTGTCGATTTTAGGGATGAGTTGAATACAGTTGGAAATATCTTGATTTTCCGGTAATATAGGGATGCCAGGAGGCAGAAAGGAATACAGCCTTTATAGTCAACGCTTGTCATATAACTTTTATGAAAAGTAGCCACCCAAAAGATATCTTCATCCTAATCAGTGGAATCTGTGAATATTTCCTTCTCTGAAACAAAAAAGGAGAGGGTCTTTAGATGTAATTAAGGATCTTGAGATGTGGAGATTGTCCTGGATCATTTGGGTTGAGCCCTAAATGCAATCATGTATCTTTATGGAAGGGAGAACAGAGGGAGATTTTAGAAGATCTTAGAAGGCAACATGACCATCAAGTCAAAGATTGGTGTCATGCGGCCACAAGCCAAGGAAATGCTCGCAGCCCACCTCCAGGAGCTGGAAGAAGCAAGGAACAGGTTCTCCACTAGTTCCTTCAGAGGAATACAGACCTGCCAACACTTTGATTTGGGCCTGATGATACTGACTTTGGGTTTCTGGCCTTCAGAATTGGAGGGGTGACATATTGTCTATAAGTAATGATGGTGAGAAGAACCTTTCCTCGAGAGGAGTTTTACTCCGGAAATGAGGCTGTCACATGCAAGTAAGATGGGGAAGGAAATAATAGGAGTTCTGAATCAATTTTATAGGAAGAGGAATTTCTCGCCTTGGAGGAGTGCTATAAGTTTCAAAGCAAAAAGTAGTTTTTGTTTTCTTTTGGTTTTTGGTCAGGGGTTAGGGCACATTTGGAATAGGGCATAGCAGGTTGCAAAAATACTTAACTGCTCTTACTGAGGGGACCAATGATTGCCATTTCACTGACTCAAATATGGACTTCTTAGTGATCTTCATACTCTACCCCTTGGCATCATTTCCTACCATAGAGCATATCTTTCTCGTAAGTTTTTTTTTTCCCCTGCCTGCTATAACCCTGCACTCCAGATTCCAGGACTGCTTTTTTATTTATTTTGTCTTTTGCCTTTTTGATGGTCTTTCTCTATCCTTAACCTTCATATTGTTCTCCAGAGCTTGGTCCTGAGCTCTCTTCTCACTCTACACTCTTTCTCTACACGTCGCTCTTCCGATCTGTGTACGTTTTTTTCTTCTTGATTCTGAGCCCACTCGGCTCTACACTCTTTCTCTACACGGTGTTCCCTGCTCTCAAGGCTTTAAATACTACCTGTATTTCAGCAACTCCCAAGTTTATGTCTCCAGTCCATAATCACTTTCCTGAACTACAGACTAACAACATATCTTTATCTTTCCCTGAAACCTTCTGTTCCTTCAGAATTCCTCTTATCAATAAAATGCCACTACCATCCATCCAAATGCTGAAGCCAGAAACCTAAAGCTTCCTTCTCCTTCAACTTCCAGTCTGTCACCAAGTCCTGATTTTCTGCCTCCCACATACCTCTCAGTTCTCTCTCCTTCTTCCACTAGCTCTCTCACCTCAGCACAATCACATGCCTATACTACTGCAAGAGCTTCCTGATTGGCCTTGCTTCTCCTCTTTCCCTTACCATCCATTCTCCATTTAGTAGTCAAAATATTCCTTTAAGGATCTTAGATCTGTGATACCATTTACTGCCTAGTGCTTCCTTTGCAGATGCTCATGGCTCCTACCAACCTCTCAGCTTCATCTCCCCACTCTTTTGGCCTACAACACTCCAGCCACTCTTAGCCTTGTTTCAGTTATTTTTTCCTACCTCTGTGCTTTTTCACATGCTATTTCCTTTGTCTAGAATGCCCTTCCCTCCACCAATGCATGTCTAACTCCTACTTATATCCTCCATTTCTCAGCATAAAAGTCATCATTTTAGAGAAGTTTTCCTGATGCCCCCTCAATCTAAATGAGATTTCCTATTTTAATCTTTCATTTGATCCCCAATATTCGTACATGACATTTTTCATAATTTGTAACTATATATTTTATAGTGATTACTTAACATTTGTCTCACCATGAGATTATAGGCTTTTTAGGTCAGGAACTATTTTGTTTTGTTTTATGTTTACAGATCCAACACTTACATAATGTCCATAGTTGACAATAAATATCAGTTGACCGAATGACTGGTAATAGATAAGGAAATCAGAAGATAAGAAACAGAATAGGAAGATATAAAGTTGACTTTAGAAAATGGAGGTCCATGGGGGTTATAGTGAAGGGAAGCCCATACTCAGAAAAAGAGTAGGATCTAGCTAACAGCATCTAATTTTTAAAAAGATACAAAATTATCTTGATTATATTTTTAGAAGCTGCTTCTGTTAGATTTATACAGCTCCAAGGCTGTAAAAGAACAGATTTTCGGGGTGCCTGGGTGGCTCAGTTGGTTGAACATCCCGACTCTTGGCTCGGGTCATAATCTCAGGGTCATGGGATCAAGCCCAAGTAGGGCTCTCCACTGGGTGGGGAGTCTC